ATAGTATTTAATGCAATGGATTTTTATTTTATACAGTTGTTAAACAATGACATTTAAGTCAAGTCAGAATGTTTCTTTTGTAGAAAATCATTGTTAATATATATATTATTATATATATTATTATTATTTTATATATATATATATATATAATAGACACATCCAATAAATATGGAAAACATCAAGAATTTATAAACCAATAAGATTTAGGCAACAATTATATAAAGTGGAGCAACTGAAAAGAAAGCCCGGAATTTTCATAATAGTCAGATTCACAAGCATTTGTGGATCGATTCTAACGTGAATGTAAAATTCAATTCTTCGTGTTTTCTCATGTCCAAGGAAATAAATATGTTTCGTTCCACTGTGCGATGGGTCAATAGAGTTAACCGAGACTACGAAGCTGACGAGCAAGCTGAACAAATACTAAGCTTTTTACATAAACAATCGGTTATGGAACACACCTGAATCTTGTTACAGGATTAGCTTAGCATTAGAGTAATTTTTAAGGAAATTAGCGGTACACAAGCTGATCCAGCAAATTTTCAACATCCATTTATTAATTATTCAAGCGTTGATCTCGTTATCCAATTTTGCCGCGTACTTCGTCCCGGCGTTTTACATAATAAAACCGCCAATTTGAGGACAATTTTAAACGCCATCGCCTGACGCGCGTGCGTCAGCTACTTAGCGCCAAATTCGAAGCTTTCAATTACGCTTGAAACTCGATTTCCTCTACAAAATAGCGGCTTTGACTGCGTCCCAAAATAAAATTCGCACAAAAATGCACCGGGGCTTCCAAAATGGCGGCTATAAATCCCGATATTGCCTTTTCGCTAAAGTTCTACGTGTTTATCCAAACAAATTTTGCACGTTCGACCTAGATTCGTATTTTTGCTGAACAACGTTTAATAAAATCATGGTTTCGGCGTTGTTCCCGGAATAAAATTCGTACAAAAATGCACCGGGGGGCTTTCAAATTGGCGGCTATACATTCCGATATTGCCTTTTCGCTAAAGTTCTACAGGTTATCCGAACAAATTTCGCATATTCGTTCTAGCTTCGTATTTTCGGCAAACAACAACGTTTAATAAAATCGCGGTTTTTGGCAGCGTGCCCGGAATAAAATTCGCACGAAAATGCACCGGGGGGCTTCCAAAATGGCGGCGACACGTTCCAAATTCCCCCCCGCCGAAAGTTGTACACGATAGCGCAATGGAAACGGTCTCGTTTCGAGTTTCCGCCGTACAATTTGCAGCGAGTTCGAGGGTCCGCAAACTTTCTCTGATTGAGTGAATAGAAACGGCTAGGGGGGGGGGGGTGTCGTGGACAGGAGGAGAGTCCGGGGGTGGTTGACGTCGCCGTGGAAGCGGGTATAAACTCCGCGTCGGCCGAGACAGAAGCGAATTTAATGCTTTCCTGCCGCGCGAGACTTATTTTTATTTGCTATTTCTGTGCCTTCGTCGCGAGTCCTCTGTATCGGGGTTCGGTATCGTTGCGTAAAAGGGGTATCGGGATCGATCGTATAAATAATGGGCCGTCGATAATCGCGAGGGGTTGAATGAAAACTGGTCTCGCGCGTCCGGGAAATTCAGTCGAGCTGGCGACGTGGAAGTCGTTCGAGGTGAAAAACTTTTCCTCTCCGCTCCTCGGGTAAGAGGGTTGCGGAGCGGGTCTTCGACAAATGGGACGGAGAGGGTTGAATTAAGTGGCGGACGACTGTCTTCGTCGCAACGATCGTTCGTTTTCCGCTTCGTCGAGCTGGACGCACGTTTTCCTACTTCCCGGCGCCAGTAAAGGTGGAATTTTCACTTAACTTCGTGATTAGCAGACGCGAAAATCAACTGTTGATTCTGAGAACCAATTTAATTATTAACGAGACACCCTGTTTATTAATGATTTTTATTATTTTTATTATTTTTGTTATTTTATTATTTTTATAGTTTATAAGGGCTTACGATACATCTTGTCGAATTTATTTACGATTATTCGAGCTGCCGTATTTTTATAAAACCATCAACGACCGGGAACAAGATTGCATCCGTTTTTTTTTTTTAAGCAATAGTTTCTACCCTGTGTATTAACGATCTTAATTAATTTGTTCAAAAGATAGGTTACGATACATCTTGTCGCATTTGTTCACGATTATTCGAACTGCCATATTTTTGTAAAATCATCAACGACCAGGAACAAGATTGCCTTTGTCTTTTTTCTTAAAAAAAAAAACAATGATTTCTACCCTGTGTATTAACGATCTTGATTAATTTATTTAAAAGTCAGGTTACGTCATATCTTGTCGGATTTATTTAAGATTATTCCTGCTGCCATATTTTTGTAAAATCATCAACGACCAGCAACAAGATTGCACTCGTCTTTTTTCGAAAAAGCAATGGTTTCTTTCTTTTTCGCCGTGATTATCTTCGAGGTGGAGGGCCTCTGGGAGATCGAAGATGGCCGACCGGTATTCCACTAATGGGCAACTTGCACAAGTTGCACGCTAATCGGTTTCGCGTGGAGACATTGTTGTCGGCCGGTGAGACATTGTTCGGGAGACACGGTTTTCGAGAGGCGAGCTCGCCTCGCCGATTAAGTCGAAGGAATCCTATCCCCCAGGTCGTTTTTGGCACAGAAAGGTTGGCATTACCCGCGGGCAACGACGCGACGAAGGTCGCCATTACGGAGCCGACGGCAAGCATAAAATTAACTATGATCCCCGATAGCCTCGTCACCCTACCGTCTTTTCTCCTTTTAAATATCGCCGGGCATTCTGTCTCCTTAGCCACCTGCTGTACGAAATTCCGACGATACACCACCAAAAATTTTACCGAAAACGTAAACTAAACAACCGTCCATTTTCTATGAGCCGACGTGACGATGCATTCGTTACGCGAATCTCGTGACATTAAACGACCCGAACAATCAAACGCTAGAAAAATAAATTCGATAAATTCGAGGCGAGAATATGCATCACGTTCCGATGCGCGCGAATATTTTCGTGGTCGGCCACGGCCTTCGGAATCGTTGGATCCGAATTTTCTTGATATTATTATTTCGTGCGCGAAAGAGTTGCATCCGACTCAAAATTTTTCGCGGAATCTTGGCGATCGATACGGAACAACAGCAGTTGGCGTTCTAAATCCGTGACTTCGGCGAACGTAATTTCCGATAATCTGTTTACCGTGGTTGATTTCGAACTTTCATAAAATGACGGGCGGAATATCCCGGCAAATTAGCATTTCAAATCCCGGATCGATGTACGTGTTAGAGAGAACTTTCAGGCTGAACGCGCGCGCGCTCATGTCACCAAGCTCTTGTCGATAAATGGAGGAGGATAAATGCTTCCCAGCATTGACGAAGTTTTAACAGCATGACATTTTTCAACTATGCTTTCCTGAGAACCGAGAACTTTCTCGTCCCAGTATTCTATTAAACGAATTTCTATTCAGAACAACGCTATCAGACGCATCGAGAACGAAATTTTGCTTCGTATAATACTTTTCGTTTGTGCCATAAATATAACCCCTTCACTAGATACACTTGGGTCACGAGTGACCCAATTATTTTATGCAATCGTTTATTTATTGGAGATTGTTCGGAAAGTAAAATTGCGTTCTTTCGCGAGAAACTAAAAGACCACTTTTTAATGTTTAGTGTAAATATTATTTTTTAATATTACTTTTTCTTGGCACCCTTGCAAAACAATATTTCGTTGCGAAAGGAAATTACTCACTGGACAACCCAATAGAATTAGGTTAACACATGTTTCTGCACTTTTCATTTGGGGTCTATCGTGACCCCAATATAATAATCACTTTTATGAAAATCATTTTACCAAATGCGAGGGTTAAGGAATTTTGAGAATTAAGAAAAAGATGCAGGAAATAATGCGAGATAACACAGAAAGAGAATTAAACAAAGATCGTATTTAAAACTTAATAAAACAGTTGAAGCTGCTCTGGGAACATTATGCAAACATCTCACGACGTATCTACCCCATCATCAGACAATTATTATACCCCACGTTATCAGATTATCCTCGGTAAACTCATCCAACATTTTTTACAGTTCCTATCTTATCTCAGCCGGAAAAGTATTTCCAATACCATCTTCCTACCTTCGCGTTAGAATGAATAGTACTCTTGGAATACTTCAGAGCCGAGAATGTTTCCACAATGTGCTGCAACACAAATGGAAATGGTGGTCTTGGTTCCCTTGGAAACACATTTCTCTCCAACTTTAAATTTTCAATTCGAAAAGTTCTAAACTGTCAATACATTATTCATTAATCTGTTATTGGTAAACGGGGATGCTACACACTTCGCTTCTAAATCCAAATGAATTTTTCGTTTCAAATTTACACTCTTAATAACAACAATCTGCTTCAACGAATAACTTGGAAGTACGTAAAATTCTCATTCGATAACAATGCATCTTCTAAACTTTTCGAATCTATACAGAGACTCGGATTATAGTTACAAAGGAACATGAGATAACACTTTTTTTCAAGTTTATTTACTTATAATATGTCATAAATCAATTTCGTGCACAGATGAAATTCAAATATTCCCGCGCGTCCAGGGATTTATTGATTTTGCGGGTTGCGTGCCGCACCAGTGATACAGTCACCTGCCAGTCGCATGCACGCGTGCAGAAGTGTGTTTGGCTCGAATTGTAGTGTGACCGAATGTTTCAATTTTGATCGACCGGTGCGCGTTTTCAGTACTCGATTGAAAGATAATTTGAGTGGCCTCGTTTTCGGTGTCAATTCCACAAGGTTTTTCTGTCGTAGTCGCTTCGACGGATTCCTAACCTATACGTCAGTAAAACACCTTCTTCACGACCATGTCGGCGAATATAAAGATAGGGACGCACGATGGTCGTTTTCATTGCGACGAGGCGCTAGCTTGCTTCCTTTTGAAGATGCTACCGCGATACAAAGACGCAGAGATTATCAGGTAAAACGTGTTGCACGCTTTAGAGCACATTTACTGTAGTTTGCAGTTTATTTTTCTTAGTAAAAATAGCAGGCACACATAGAAATTGCAGCAGATGAATTTGTTTATTAAGCCATCGGTAACAACTTTTGATTCGCAGTCATGTGTTCAGGGACATGAAGTAGTAAATTTGCTTCTAGATCACGAGACTTAGATGTTTTAAATACTTGCGATGTGGTAGTTGATGTTGGCGGGAAATATGATCCTTCTACTCACCGTTACGATCATCACATGAGGTATACAGAGATGTTTCTTTTTATTTGAGTGGGGAGAAATATGTTTTGTAGACTTTGTTTGTTCGACGAATTAGAGATTTTAAAGAATCAGTGAGTACAGTCATAAAGAAACCTGGATATGACTGGACAACAAAATTAAGCAGTGCTGGATTGATTTTTTGCCATTTTGGCAATGAGATTATTAAACAATTATTTCCAAATGTGAGTGATGACAACGTGGAATGGATTTTTAAAAAAGTTTATAATGCGTTCATTCAAGAAATCGATGGTATTGATAATGGAGTGCCAATGTTTGATGGAAAGCCTGCGTAAGTGAGCATTGCTGGTGCTGCAAATATTAGGGTTAACAATTTGGGCCTTTGCAGTATGTTTCCTTCTAGATATCGCATTGTAACTGATTTGTCTTCTCGTGTCGATTATTTAAATCCTTCGTGGAATAGTGAAGGCATTGATACTGACCAACAGTTTTTAAAGGCAATGGAACTCACTGGTAAAGACTTTTTGCAGTATATAAATCACATAGTAAATATTTGGTTACCAGCTAGATCTATTGTGGAAGAAGCTATCCAAGATCGTTTCAAGGTGAATATCGTTAATACAGTGTTGCAATTGATGGCAATATTGTTGCTAGCGCCGATAGTATAGTTTGTTGAGGCAACATATATTTTCAGGTAGATCCAAGTGGGGAAATTATAGTATTATCTCGATTAGCACCATGGCAACAACATTTGTTTGCGTTAGAAAAAAAATTGAAGTTAGAACCCACGTTGAAGTATGTTATTTGGGGAGAATCTGGCGACTATCGAGTTCGAGCTGTTCCAGTAAATGCTTCCAGTTTTGTCTGCAGGTACATACAGCAAATGATGTAGTTCACTACAGCATGAACCAAGGGATCGTTTGCAGTCTTAACAGAAGATGTTGTTTTATAGAATATTTTTACCGGAACCATGGGCAGGTCTCAGATGCAAGGATCTAGAAGTTGCCAGTGGAATCGAAGGCACCCTGTTTGTGCATACAGTGAGATTTATTGGCGCACATAAGACGAGAGATGGCGCTATAATGATGGCGCGTAAATCGCTTGAAATTGCGAAGGCAGGATCGAGTTAACGATTGCATTTTAAATTTGACTATCTGTATTATGTACAATAATAATACAATTGACTGATAAGAAATAATATCTTAATTCCACACTTCAATTTCCCTAATTTCCTTAGACGCGAGCTTCAAGGGGATTCCCCTGGGAAGATAAAATGTCATGCACGAAATTGCATGTAATGAGTATTCACGCACAGTAATTACTATTGTTTGCAAGTTAATTGATTAAAACAATTTCCAAAATATTTGACGAGTATCAAATCGCGATCGGTAATTTCTGGTTGAGCAAATATAACGATTCAATTTGTATTTCTTTTTCTTCTTTTCTTCTTTTGTAGATTTTCCTTTTCTTTGCGTTACACCACGGTTTTAAATCGTCGAAAACTCGTTACCCGATCTCCGAAAAAAAGCTTCAGTTAATTCGGTTTCCCGATTAAGTTCTAAGCCGACGAATATCGACGATAGGACACCGTGCCTATTTGTTTTTCATCGAACGGAACCGGTCCAATGCGAGACCTGCGAACGTTTTCTATTTATTTTATTTATTCCACAACAGTGGAAAATTGGTGTCAACCCTTACAAAATGCTGCACCGACTTTCGAATGAAACGGGAAACGCATCAAGCAACGCTAAATACGTGAAATAATTAAAGTGTACTAACAATAATTACAGAAACGAAGTAACGCCGTAATTGCAGGACGATCTACAATACAATCTAATTACAGTTTAGCACGATTACTCTGTTGAAACCTCGTTCGAGGAAAGAAAATTCCGCAGCGAGAGGGAAACGTAAGACAACGTACAAAAGTTCCTTTGAAGTCCCCCCGGATTGCAATGGCACGATTAAAAACGTGCTCAAGAAAACAATGGAACTGGCACTCGAGAGAATTTTCCGCAGTGCTGCGAACTATTTTTCTATCGCGCGAAGTGGATAATGAGATGAAGATGTGTGCCGAAAGTGGGTGGAAATTAAGTGTAGCACACCGAGCGCGATGGCGGCGGTTGATTATCAATTTGGAGTTCCGTTATCAGTTCACGAAGCAGCTGGGCTTCATTATCGAGCCTTTCCCGACTTTCTATCTCCGTCCTTCCGGGATTGGAGCCGGCGCCATGTTAAAATTATGCGACGACACGTGGCCGCGGTTCGATGAACGTGCTTGACACGTTGCTGCCTCGAATGAGACGAGGATATAATATAAAAAGAAAATGAGGACGCAACGCGCACTACAATTGGCAGTCGTTAAGCGAGGCGCGGCAACTTTTATTTTCCGGACCTCGTATGTCCAGGATACAAAATTCAGTGGTATATTCAACGAAAAATTGCTTTTAAAATGTAACTATTTTTCGAAAACAATGTCTTTTGGGTTCGAAACGGCGCGGAAGTGGTCTCGTTTCGCCGAAACGAATTCGTTGGTTTAACAGGCCATGAACGAGAAGAAAAACATCTCCAGATGAAGAGATCGCGATATGATTTGAATAATTAATTAGCGCCGCGGTGGTTGGATGATAAAATCAAGCGGCACTGTTCCGGTCACTCACCCCTAGAGTGCCTTCGTTCATTAGCATCTCGTCTCCCTTTCATAGTCGGTAACCTAATTCGTTAGCCGTTGATGCAGCACGCCGACGACGGGAGACAAAAATCGAGATGAAAGAGAGAGTGAGAGTGTATGTGTGTGTGTCAAAGAGAACGCAAAAACGGAAGAGAAAAGATCGCCATTTTAAAACGGTGACCAAAAGGGTTCGAAAATTTCGTTACCGTCTCGAGGTCATTTTAACCTTTTTGTCTTCCCGCCAAGTCGACTCTTTGTAACCTAAATTTGTCGTGTTTCCAGAATTTTGCTTATCTTATCAGTTCCAAAGCGAAACCTCCACTGTTTTCGAAGATCGTGCTACACCATCGAGGAAAAGAAGCTTTATTGCTGTTCCGGCGAATAACTGAAGTACCCGATCAATTATCCAGCAGTTGGATACAAGCGAATGCGCCGAGGGCTCCTCGACGGTGTCCTCGAGAGACTGCTTTTTCCCCTGATGCGTTTGTTACGACCGTTTCCGTCGCAGCGAAACTTTTTCGGTGATCGTTACTTGTTGAGCTGAGTGGCGAACTCGCTGTTTTCCCGCTTGACAGTTTGTTTCTTTATCGAACGGTTCTCGTTATCCGTCATGTTTTTGTCTTTATTCATCGCCCTCCGGGAACTACGTTTCCTTCGCCGTGATTAGACCGTGAATTTGTATTTGCGTCAACATCGTCTCCGAGCCCTGGAAAACGTGGTGCATAAAGTGAAACTTGTTAAGAAAATTGTAACGAGCGGGTGAATGCGCGGAGACGTGAATAGAGTACCTTGAGACATGTGCAGGCTGTGCAGATTTATCTTGGGGCCTTTCTGGATAAAATGCCTGATCTAGTTACCTATGGATCTGTAAGAGTCTGAACTTGGTGCCCGGAGACGTACAGAGCCGGGTAAGGCATCTAGGTCAATGTAAGACTCCCATGAATATTTTGACACTTTTTAAAATGCAATAACTTTTTCGAGACTCGAATAAACGATTTGAATTTTCTTTTAGACGATAGAGGGACTAGTATACTAGACAATGACTGATTTACTTTGTTACAAATTTTGTTATTACTTGGATTGACAGAACAAAATAGAAGACTCTCGTTTCTTAATTTTTGTCTATCCGAGCCTATAACGAAAATTTAGAAAATTCGTTTTGTAGATCTCGGTAAGTTACATGCATGCTGAAAATTGCATCGAAATCGGTTAACGCAAAGTCAAGTTACGAACGTAAAAAGATCGTAAAAACTGCAAATTTCGGGACAAAATTGCGATTTTTGCGATCTTCAATTGTCTACAGCTCGTACCAAGGTCAACCGATTTCGGTGAAATTTTTAACATGCTCAGAATTTACCGAGATCTATGAAGCACATTTTTGAAATTTTTGTTGTACGCTCAGATAAGAAAGTTACAAAACGAGAATCTTTTTATTTCCTTTTGTCATTCTAAGCATTAGCAAAATTTTGAAAAGACATTCTTGTTATGATCTAGTACACTGGTCGCACTATCATCTAAAAAAAATTCAAGTCGTTTAGTTCAGTTCTAAATAAATTATTGCGTTTTGAAAAGTGTCCGAATATTAACGGAAGTCGCTCTATGCGATTCAAATGTAAATGCGAAAGTGGGTCCTATGGGTCTAAAGGTGTCCCTAATTCAGCCGTGGACTGATTTGAACACACCTAAGTTAGATCTATGTATAGACCAATTTACAGACCCGAGTAAGACGTTATGTGTGACCAATAGTACTTGCGCACCTGTGTACATTCGAACCGTACACTTGCAGCCTTGCACAAGCCTGGTCTAGGCATCGGCAACGCTGCATACATCAAAGTAGTAGTTGAGCACTTGCATAGCTTTGAACCATGTGATTGGGGAATCATTGGTCCGAAGCTAGAAGAGCAACGCTGCCTCCGTTTGACCGATTCAATAAAGTGCTCATTCAATATTTGCAACTATTCAGGTGCATTGCCGTGCGCTGTCAACTCTCGTGCTCATATTACCGAATACATAGTTGCAACGGCCCCTAATACCCGCTAGAGACCAGCACGTTGCCTGCCTGCTACGTCGACTGAATAAAATTCATGTTTATTAATGGCGTCGCGCGAGCTTAATCCGTTAGCGCGAGCCGGGGATTCATAAATAAAATTGATAACCGAGAGCCATTTCGAATGAGATAGCTTCTAATCGAATAATAGTCGCGATTCCTGATAATCACTGTTGGGGGAAACGTATTCGCAGCATGATCTATCGGTGGCGCGAAGAATTTACACGTGGCAGAGGGCGAAGAATCGAGTGTCCGTAAAATGATGGAGAATCCCGTAATCCAATAATAGAGAGTTTGCCGGGAAAGTGAGCGAGGCACACTTTGATGCAAAGTGTGTCATATTTATTCAACGAATCCTTAGACTCCGGCCGCTTGTTTATCGAATTCGATGCATAAACAACGGCGCGTTCAAGAAATAATATCGTCCGTACGTCGCTGCATCAACATAAGAAACGTCGACGTTCTGGCGGAATTGCTGTCCGTATCAGGGTTTCTTTTTGAAACGATTAATACGTTTTTAGGTTCGACATATTTTCCGTCAAAAATTATTCTTTGATAGGTACAAGCTAGAACGTATATTTTCCTATATTAAATTAGAAAATATGCTTAGGTAGATATTGGCTAGAAATATACATATAGTTACAGATTAGAAAAGTTATTTTTAATAGATACGAGTTAGAGGTTATGCTTTTTAATGCAAATTGCAAGTTAGAAACTATACTTTAGTAAATATAGGTTAGACAATATACTTTAATGGTTACAGGTTAGAAAGTATACTTTAATAGTTACAAGTTAGAAACTATATTTCAGTAAATATAGGTTAGAAAATATATTTTAATTGGCATATGTTGGAAAATTTATTTTAATAGTTACAAGTTAGAAACTATATTTCAGTAAATATAGGTTAGAAAATATATTTTAATTGGCATGTGTTGGAAAATTTATTTTAATAG